TAATGAATGGATCATGTTTCCTTTTCTTCAAAGTATCCCAGCATATTAATTCTGAAATTCACATACAGTAAAATCCTTTTTATGAGAAAAATAATAGGTCCATATTCTAATTTTGTATTCACGTTGTATGGCAATAAGCAATCTATGTGCAAAATATAAAAAAAACAATCAACAGACTTTTGTGAAACTGTAATGAGCCACCTTAATTGTTTGTTGCAGTGTAGCTTCAATTGGTAAGATTGTAGTTGGTACCAATGATTTGTTGGCTTAGATTGGTAGAGTATAGTTGTTATCAATGCTATGTTTGCTTAAATTAACTTAGGTTGGTACATTGTCTTTGGAATCAGTGATATGTTGGCATTGATTGTGGCTGGTATAAATTGGTAGCTTCTAAGTGAGATTAGTTAGTTGATTCTAGGCATCAACTTGTAACTCGTGATTGGTAAAAATTGTTTACGTTAGTCATCATAGAAATACCTAATGGTTAGTGTCTGTGGTTTCCATGGAAACATTTAGATTTTGTTTTCTCTTGTCATACTGTATCACATGAAAGTTCTTAACCTGAGTAAGATGTTGAATTATGCAAAGAAAAAAGAGAAAAACATGAAATGGCTGACAATCATTGCAGAAAACGTTTATTGGTAAGAAACATTTAGCTGAGAAATTGTGTTGCATTACCGCTCTGATATTTGGTCTGATATTTGGCTTTGAAGTGTATTTAATTCTGCATATTTCTGTATTTTCAGAAAATGTGTTTCACAGCAATCCAGCTTTTCAAGATTCAGAGAAAGTTGAAAGCAATGAGGAAAGCTATTTCACTGCAGTTGAATCACAAACTGGTATGTACCTTACCATTTATTGAGCATTAATAACTAAGAATATCTGATCCATTATTTTACATCTGCCAGTGTTAACAATAGAATTTAGCAATTTATAAAAATCCAGGTTTTGAACATGGGTTTTCTGAGGACACACAATTTCAAGACCCAAACTTCTTAAAATGCAAGAGCCTGATTGACACTGTGAAAAAAATATCCAACTGAATGGCGTCAAATCATTCAATCGTGGTATCTAAGCAATACCTTTATGTTATCATGCAAAGAGATGTGTAGAAATATATTACTGACACCTTTACTATTTGGAAAACTTTAGTCTACCTTTCTAGTCATTATTTTACCTCATCATCAAAGTTGTGCATGTAAGTGAAATTATTCTTGCATTAGAAATGTACCAAACTTGTGTTTAGTGTTTTCATATTAGCGCAAGAATTACTAATAGGAAAAATGTCTTTTTCGCAAGCATGTCTGATTCGCCAATTCAAGATGTCGCTAATGACTTTATTATAAATTCAAAATGGCCAAGGCTTGGGGATTTGTATACAGTAATCCGGAATATAAAAATCTGGGGTGCTTCGTAATTACAGTTTTTCTTTTTTTTTATGAAGGTGATAAACTGTGCATTTGTTTTGGCATGCGACAGACAAGTATTGTGAAAACAGGAAATCAACAATTACAAGAGAGATTCGCTAAATCAACATTTCACTATTACATCATTTTATGCAATTTGCTAAAATTGCATGTCACTTTTTCAACATGTTTTACAATAGTTTAACTTAACCCACTTTCAGCATGCAACTGCCCTTAATATGGTATTTTTTCAGGTCATTCCAAGCGTGTTCATTTTTTTTAAATTATTTTTTTCAATGCATGATTTTTTTTAGCAACAAAGAAGAGCGTGGAATGTTTGGCTGAGCAGATGTGAACATAACGAGGAATTAAGATTAGTACCACAGTCTCGGAAAGCCAGGAATTACTACAGGTGACAAACATATGAGTTTATGATAAGTGTCACAGTCATCGCAACATGTCTTGTTCAACATGGGCATAAAATACATTGATTACACAGTGCAGAGATCTTGAACGCAATCCAATGCAGAGATCTTGTTTAGAGTGAGGGAGTCATGTGACTGATTTTTCTCCTTAAATAGTGTTATGTCGTCATCACGCCCACTGTTCTCCTGATCTATGTAACCATGGTAATTGGATCAGTAGACAGAATGATTAGAATCAAACACTATTTCAAGGGCGTAAACAAGTATTGTGGCTCTTTCACTCTCAACGAGATATTGGTGACCATTTGTTTACGTATTGCAATTGAATGATATAATTTGATACATTATAAGTAAATGGTTTTTGACCTCACTTTAATATATACTGTGAAATACTTTATTTTAGCTGGAATTAATTTTCGCTGAAAATAATTTTTGGGTGTTTCATATGGAATTTATTTTCTCTGATTTCTGACTGAATCATTCCTGCAGCGAAAATGAAGTATTTTACAGTACTCAAATTTGCAATCATGAGTATCTCTTAATCAATATGCACAATTCATCTTCAGGTCCAAAATTCTGCAAGGTTGCATACAACAATGGTGGCAATATGTGCGATGGAGAAGACATAGACAGGTATGGAATTGGTTTTATTGTAAACATTCTATCAATACATACAAATAATATGGTGAACCATTCTCTATGCTCAGCTCACAATCAGTGTAATCCATCACCATTTAAACTGAGATATATGCATGTTTTGTGTTTTTCATTGTACATATACATTTTGTTACTTCCTCAGTTTTTCATCTTTATTGTAATTTTCTTTTTCTGAGTCAATATCCAAATAAGAATACGATTATGCAATAAAGATTATTATTCTTATTATTACATGTGATACATGAATATGCAATTTATTTTCAGACACAGTACAGCATTGCCGATTCTCATTACATTGGTAAAACCTTACCAAGGTGTATCTTCAACTGGAGAGTGTATGTTCAGCTAATGAAAGAAGAACACGAACAAGATGAGAAAGCCATCAAGTATAGAAGGTATCAATCTTACAAGTACAACCCATCTAAACATTCAAACTACTGTAAAATCTGTTTTAGAAATGGTACAATGCAACAGGACATGCGGCTTCTATTAGAGCATCTACACATATGAGAAATGATGAATTTTTGGTATACAATTGTTCAATAAAAATGGGTGCGACTTTTATTACGAATGTGACTTCTAATACAGATTTTACGGTATCAACCATAATCCAGAGTGAAAATAATAGAATTAAGCCATCTTTGAAAATTTCACATTACAGATGTCTTGTTTGAAAAATGTGTGTCACTTTTTCTGAGTTTACAACAGATGTCGTAACAATGTAGTACATGATTGAAATAGATTACCGTCACTGAACGAAAACGATCGCAGAGGCATGAATCTCATGAAATGTTTTTTTCTGGATTTTGATATTTATTTGCTCTATTACTGGTAGTAACACATGTACTTACATAAGACGTATGTCTAAAGTTAAAATAAATCATATTTTTATGATACAGTGTACAGTAAATTCAATTTTTAGTTTATGTTTGTCTCCATTAGCGATGTGTAACAGTTGGTGAGCAAATACGGTAATAATAAAGATACCATGAAAATGCCACATAGTATACACTTGTTCTATATCCTTTGTAGATACTTTTCAGTATTCTTGATATAACCTTATAATATGATCTACTGTATCCTTGTAAGAGTGCACCTAAGCTACCTTTTCTTTGCTTTGTCTTATAGGTCCATTCTTCATGCAAAGTATTTCTATGGTTGGTTGGGTAACTACCACACTAGTCAGGATTACAGAATGATAGAAAGAATGGTGAGTATTTCTATGGTTGGTTGGGTAACTACCACATTCTGCCGTAAATTTGCCCATCCGAAAAATCGCCCTGGGCAGTTTCACGGATGGTGGGCCCTTATTTGGGGTTAAAATTTTCAAAAAATTGTCATAAAATATTTGTAGGGGGCTATATTTTCATTGAAAAATCCACCTACGCCGATTGTGAACGTGGCATTTGGACCACCCAAAACGAAAGACGCTATTCAAGTTGAATTTATTAAATTTTGTTCTTGCTGGATTAAAAAGTAGACCGTGCATCTTTCTCCCAAAAAATCACATTAACAAATCTTGTGCACCAAATACAATTATTTTGTTTCATTTTATTACTAACGAAAGTATATTCTAAAAGAAGTTTCAAATAACAACGAACACAACTGCATTGCTTAGTAGCAAATGATCGTGGTAGCGCAATCCGGTCATGCTGCGTTTTACAATTGTTGATTATTACCTAGTAATGATTATAATAACATGCAAAAAATAAATTCGTTGAATTGTTATAAAATGCAAATAAATTTCAAATTATTTCGTTGTAAGCGAATGATTCTGATCGCATTCTCAGCACTTGATGCTGTAGAAATGACTATCCACCATGTTTGACCTGAGACTGTGTTCTTTGACCTGACAGGTCAAATCGATAATTAACCAATAAAATCGATGGATAATGCCAACGTGTTCAAATTACCGGTACCATAGCACATTTAAATATGTTAATGTTATTGATCTCAGTACGGAAGAGATTTGCCGATGTTGTTGTCTGATCTTTTGGCTTGAATTTTGATGGGAAAGCGGCATAATTTGTTTTTAAATAAAAAAATTAGTTGTTTTCAAAAAATAAACTGAGCATTTGAAGAATAATTTAACATTATTTACAGCGATAACAGCTCATTGTAGAAACGAAGCTAACCCATTCACGCTAGTCGCAATAAACATCAATACTCTTGAATATGCGTCAATGACTACGCGAAGATTTTAGGTCTCAGAAAAGATTAAAATAACACCAATCGCCATGGGCAGTTTCTTGGTCCAATTTTATTTTATTTTAAACCCAAACTGCCGTTTAACGGCCCTGGGCGAATTTACGACAGAATCCGGTACCACACTAGTTAGGATTACAGAATGATACAGCAGTAATACAGCGAGTTCACATAAAATTACCTACAATTCATGTAACCATTTTTGAAATAATTTTGGCAACTAATATAATACTGATATGTGTTTCAGCTGAAATACCTCATTAGTGTATTGTTCAGTAGAATAATTTCATAGCTGGTGATACCATAATACGTTACTGTCCAATTTGCTGGGAATAATTTTCGCTGAAGGGAAGTTCAGTGAAAATAAAATCCAGCTAATATACCTTTTTCTCTGTATTTTACATTTAACTCTTCAAAAATCATGTGTCTATATCATAAATGCAATTAACTACATTTATTGTGTGCTGGCTTGTCAAATATTTTGACCAGAGACGTACCTCTGCCATTTAAATACATAACCACAGATGTACCAATAGAGCAAACTACTAATGCCAACACTGTTACAGCGAGCGCAAGATATTTGCATACACCTAACTCTCGCACCCGGCAGGTAATTACCGAGGGACTTTGCAACATCTCCAGACACTTTGCTAAACGCTCCAACGACCGTTGTAGACGCAATAAATTTACATACACGCCTACATGACAATTTATCATAACAACGGACCAGGGCTTCAGATGGTCAACAAACATTCATCAAACAATCATGTTCTACTCATTGTTGATATCGGACACTTTATTATTTCATACATACATATGCTCGTTCATTTAATACATTCTATTTTGAACGTTTCACGAAAATAATAAACCTAGTTGATACAAATATTTAAAAACGCCCCTAACATATAATGAAATTACCTAAATTTTCCTCGTTTTGAATAAAGTTTAGTTTTGAATACAGTTTCTGATTTTGATTATGTCAAAACGTTTAGACAAAGACACTGAGATGGAGATTATTCGCCTCTCGCGAATGAACGACGGCGAAGGAAGTTGGACTAGCGACTGCAACGGTTCAAAGGATTGTACCGCATTTCTGTCGCATCGGTTGGATCACCGTTCCTCAACACCGGTGTTGAGGGACGGTGGTTGGATAAGTTTTGAAAGGAGTCAGTGAGCGGCGGTCGTTGACTGAATGTTACATAAGAAATTGTTAAGTTTTTCGAATTTTGTCTGCGATCTGAAGGATATTTGAAACTGGTATATGGTGACGGTGTGTAGGTGAAACAAAGTAGAAGATTCCAGGGAAAGATTGACTGGGCGATGAGTGTTCTGGTAAACTGGCAATGGGACCAGCCATTATGCGAGAAATTGAAAGGGACACTCACAACGCTAATATTATTACTATAAATCCATTGACAACATCTCAACAAACTACAAATCAAAAGAATTTATATTTATCATTTCTTGTTAATATTCATTCCCAGTTTTATGTTCGTATTATATTTCTCTCAAGTGTTACACAGCAATGATTTTTGTTTGTACAAAGCAATGGAATAGTCCAACTACCTCTCGTTCCTCGTGGCCAAACATCACATGATCAAAGGCATTCTGCGTCCGGTGTTTTGATTAACTGTCAAGTGAGTGGGTATCTAACTTCATTGCGTCCACAATGGTCATTGGAGTGTCTAGGGAAGTGTCTGGCGATGTTGCAAAGTCCCTTGGTAATTACCTACCGGGTGCGGGAGTTAGGTGTATGTAAATATCTTGCGCTCGCTGTGAAGATAACATCAATTATAGTTTCAACAAATTTATCTAACTTCTTTCCAGGCTATCTTGCACTATGACAGTGAATTACTGAAGAGAAAGTTTATGAAGTGGAAAGAAAGAACAAATGAAAAGCTTCATGAAATGAAACAAGAGGTGTGTTTTGCTCATCAGTATTATGAAAACTACATGTATAATAATTGTATTACTTCGATACGCCCCCAGTGTTTAGATCGAATCTGGATTCGTCATATAGCAGTTATACCACTCCTCATGTGACCTGTTCACATTGAATGTTAGACAAAGACCTAATCAATATTGAGAAAATAAACTGCTATGATTGTATTCCATTTGAATTTGAAAATCGCTCTTATGAAACATTTTACCCATAGTGAGTGAGACAAGTTGTTTTACTTAAAATTTTGAATTTTTTGTCAGTTTTTGTGTGTTTTACAATTATAAACTACTCTGTTTTAGAGATAATCTTGAATCGTTGCAAGGCCGAATTGTAACTTGTCACAAGACAGAATTTCAAATCGTCTCAAGACCAAATTGTAAATCCAACTCATCTTTATTAATAAATTACTCTTACTAAACCTCCAGTAACATTACGTGAGATTGGAGAGGAAACTGGAGATCTAATGTCTCCATGTCAGACTGTTTTTATTTGAAACATCTCACAAGTAATATAATAATAATAATAATGATATTTTGATGTTTCAGGAAATTGCACAACATCATTATCAAAAACATCTTTGTATGAAATCATTAAAAGACTGGATTCTGTATAATAAAGAACTCAAGAAAAGGTAGAATCCTCATCCTGAATAATATTACATTGCTCAATTACTTAGATATGCATCTCAAATTAAAGTTGTGTTCTAACCTGACACACCAACTTTACATCATCATTTACTTCTTAAGCTGCTCTAATGGGGTGTCTTATTTATTCTTATGATCTTTACCAAATTCAAATTTCTCTATTTGTACATATTATTCAGGTAGTATTGTTACTATAGCGATAACTTCTATGCTTCTCATGATTTCATAAATCATAAGGTTTGGAATCAGCTTGTACATCACTTGACAAAATCAACATAAAATAAAACCCTGCGAGTTATTGTCAACTTTTCTGTAACATGCTGCCAATAACATATACTGTAAAATACTTTATTTTAGCTAGAATTAATTATCACTGAAAAGACATTTTGGTTGTTTTGTATGGAATTTATTTTCACTGATTTTTGACAAGTTGAATGTAAAATATAGGGAAAAAGTTATATTCGCTGGATTTTATTTTCACTGAATCATTCCTTCAGCGAAAATAGTGAAAATTAATTCCAAGCGAAAATAAAGTATTTTACAGTATCCTGAAAGAGCTTTATATTTACAAAGAAAGTCTATGTCCTTATACTAGTGTTAAATCACTGCTCTTACTTAGATTGGTACAGGAAGACAGTTTCATAGCATAACTGTTGTTTGGCTGTGTACTTGTCTGTCATTCACAAATCTTTCTATATTCTGAATGACTAACGACAGTGCAATCCAACTAAAGTTGAAACCCTTCTAGCATTACTTCCATGTCAGTAATACTTATATTATTGTATCAATATAATAGCTACGATCATGAGAAGTGTGCCGTCAAACATGACTATGTTAAGAAGGTGTCGAGATGCTGGTTGGCATGGCAACAGGTATGTTTGGAATATATTAAAATTCATATATTTCGTTTTCAATTTTAAACTAGATTTCTATTATTAAAACATGTCCATTTATGATCAAGGAGTTTTTGAAATTTGGTTTTGAAAGTAAACAATGTATTTATATATTTGTATTTGTTGATCACTGTCTAACTTGATCTATGTTTATCGAACAGTATGTGGCGTATCGTAAACAGAAATACTTGAAAGTACTGACTGCTAATAATCACAATAATCAGAAACTGTTGATGAGGGTTCTTACAGCATGGAAGGTAAGCAGTTATTATTTGTAATATGTGTAAAATTAGAGTTTGACATGTGTCACCAACCAGTGTAAGTGGTAGGTAATCGCCAACTCCATGTTGCATACCCTAACAAATCACCTGCTTAACTATATCAGTAGAGTAACTGACGACTCCAAGACTTTGGTGTATCCAAGAATCAGGGTTTGTTTTGCAGGTCTTGCATCAAGTTTTAAAATTGGTAGGAAGTTGCACTCTAACATTCATTATGGAAGCACCTGAACAATGATAGTGTGTATATTTTCTAGAACCTCCATGGATAAACAACGGTTGTTTAAGTGATGTTCTATCAGAATGGCCTAAGTGCTTCTCCCAGAATTGTCTGGTGCTTCTCACAAAATTGTCTGGTGCTTCTCCCAGAATTGTCTGGTGCTTCTCACAGAATTGTCTGGTGCTTCTCCCAGAATTGTCTGGTACTTCTCACAGAATTGTCTGGCGCTTCTCGCTGAATTGTCTGGTGCTTCTCACAGAATTGTCTGGTGCTTCTCCCAGAATTGTCTGGTGCTTCTCACAGAATTGTCTGGTGCTTCTCCCAGAATTGTCTGGTGCTTCTCACAGAATTGTCTGGTGCTTCTCACAGAATTGTCTGGTGCTTCTCACAGAATTGTCTGGTGCTTCTCACAGAATTGTCTGGTGCTTCTCCCAGAATTGTCTGGTGCTTCTCACAGAATTGTCTGGTGCTACTCACAGAATGGCCTTAGTGGTTCTCACAGAATTGTCTGGTGCTTCTCACAGAATTGTCTGGTGCTTCTCACAGAATTGTCTGGTGCTTCTCACAGAATTGTCTGGTGCTTCTCACAGAAATGTCTGGTGCTTCTCACAGAATTGTCTGGTGCTTCTCACAGAAATGTCTGGTGCTTCTCACAGAAATGTCTGGTGCTTCTCACAGAATTGTCTGGTGCTTCTCACAGAATTGTCTGGTGCTTCTCCCAGAATTGTCTGGTGCTTCTCACAGAATGGCCTTAGTGCTTCTCACAGAATGGCCTTAGTGCTTCTCACAGAAATGTCTGGTGCTTCTCACAGAATTGTCTGGTGCTTCACACAGAATTGTCTGGTGCTACTCACAGAATGGCCTTAGTGGTTCTCACAGAATTGTCTGGTTCTTCTCAGAGAATTGTCTGGTGCTTCTCCCAGAATTGTCTGGTGCTTCTCATAGAATTGTCTGGTGCTTCTCATAGAATTGTCTGGTGCTTCTCACAGAATTGTCTGGTGCTTCTTCCAGAATTGTCTGGTGCTTCTCATAGAATTGTCTGGTGCTTCTTACAGAATTGTCTGGTGCTTCTCACAGAATTTTCTGGTGCTTCTCACAGAATTTTCTGGTGCTTCTCACAGAATGGCCTTAGTGGTTCTCACAGAATTGTCTGGTGCTTCTCACAGAATTGTCTGGTGCTTCTCACGGAATGGCCTGGTACTTCCCACAGAATGGCCTTAGTGGTTCTCACAGAATTGTCTGGTGCTTCTCACAGAATTGTCTGGTGCTTCTCACAGAATTGTCTGGTGCTTCTCACAGAATTGTCTGGTGCTTCTCACAGAATGGCCTTAGTGGTTCTCACAGAATTGTCTGGTGCTTCTCACAGAATTGTCTGGTGCTTCTCACGGAATGGCCTAGTGGTTCTTGCAGAATTGCCTGCATGGTACTTCTCACAGAATTGCCTGGTGGTTCTCCCAGAATTGTCTGGTGCTTCTCACAGAATTGTCTGGTGCTTCTCACAGAATTGTCTGGTGCTTCTCACAGAATTGTCTGGTGCTTCTCACAGAATTGTCTGGTGGTTCTCGCAGAATTGCCTGGTAGTTATCGCAGAATTGCCTGGTGCTTTTTGCACAATCACCTGGTGCTTTTCGCAGAATCCGCTGGTGCTTCTTGCAGAACCACCACTGCAGCAGAAGTAATTATATCAACTAAACACCACTAGGGACAATACATGTAGTTGTGATGTCACAAATGTGGTTTACGCAATAAGCCATTCTTGTAATTTGGAGAAATTGTTAATTACTTCATCACCTTTGAATTATCATTTAAACCCCAACTCATAACACTGTGACTTGGAAATACTCTATAGTACTTGGATATAAGTCCAAAATACTGATAAATCTTTTGTAATGTAACTATAATATCATCTACTTATTTGTTACTTATTTTCTTGTATTTGCAGTTTTATACAAAACAGTGTACAAATACGAAACAGGTTGTAGAACAGAAGCTGGAAAACTATAATATGCAACTGTCAAGGTAAGATTCATCGCTACCTATTTGAACTCTCTCATTCTGCAAGACTCAAACTCCTGTATACAAGATACAAGCATATGACATTCATATTTATTCAATGGTTATATTGTTATGCTTGGCTTTATTGATGTAAGCAATGGTCAAGTTGTGTGTGGGCATTTAGAACGATATCCACTTTTAATAGTGCCATCCATACATATCTTACACAAATCTTTATAAATAAATTTATAATTTATAAACACCTCTTGATGTAGGTGTCATATTCATTAAATTATGTTCACCGTTGTTTTTCTAAGTACCTCATATCAGTAATGATTTCAACAAAACTTGAACTTAAACATAACTACAGGCATGTGTCAAGAACAATTATAGTGTTATTATAGTAACGTTTCCTCAGACATGGCAGTTAGAATTATAGAAAAAATCTTTTTCTTAGCTTGAATGATGTTGTTGCCATGTTGTTGAAAGGTTGAAACTTCATCATCACTTGTAATATTTGTTGTTAGTTTCACTGTACAATCATGTTGATTTCAGGTGGGCATTGTGGCAGTGGTATGAAAATGTCAAAGTTCAGATAGAAGATAAAGCCTCAGAAAACAAAGCAACCAATCACTGGCAGATCTCCCACAAAGCAAAGGTTAGGCATGCAACAATTTATTTTCTAGTTTTCTAATTCAATATGTTCTCATGTTTAAAGCAAACTGTGTGGTTTATACATTAAAAATGTAATTTCTGCCATATTTCATAGAGCTAAGAATATAAACCTGCTTGTATTGCGACTGATTATTTTTTTCCCTTAATTTTTCCAATCCATTCTTGCAAAACAAAACACATTTCACATTCAAGAATCTGTTTGACAAATCTGTCAACCTCCAGAAGTTCAAAAGTCACACGAACAGCACCAAATTGAACAAAATGATGAATTACAGCTTTCCTATGGTTTAGAAAAATGTTAGATATGAATTGTGATAACCTATAAATGTTCCGTTCTTCTAGGTATTCTCTGCATGGCGTAATTACACCATGTCACATATCTGCAACAAACACTCTAAACAGCAAGAAGTTACAGAGGCAAGGGAAACTCTAGACAAAGGTAAAATTCAGTTTGACTGTTTTTTTTCTGCCATTTCTAAAACTGAGAGAAATAGTCGAGTCAGATTTCTTGTAAATTGTGATGACACTCTTACTTGTTTGTCATGTGAATAAAAATACATTTATTAATTTTCTACAAAAGTATGGCTATTCTGAAATTAAACAGCAAAAAATCAGCATATGACTATCACAAAAACAGCTGTTTTTCAAATCACTTTATTAGCATGTTTATTAGAGATTATACATATACAAGTTTGTACATTGTATATTTTATTGTTTCTGTTTATGTCTGTATAAGATATGTATTCTTAACATTAAACCTCAATTATTTCACTAAGAGGTGGGCCATTAAAAACTAGAAGGATCAATTTAAAAAAACAAAAAAAAACAAATGTGAGTGATGGTAAATTTTATTCTATACAATTTTTGTCTAGCATTCCCCTCCCAGAAATTCTAATGGTCAACCCCTAACAACTAATAATGTACATTTCATGCTTGCAGTGAAAGTCAAGAGAGTGTTCTATGCCTGGATAAACACTCACAAGACTTCTATAAGGAACAGGGAATTACAAGAAAGAGCTGACAGACACTGGGATAATAAACTCTGTCAGAAATCCTTCACAGCATGGATGTTGTATAGGAAATATGCTATCAGGAAACATGTATGTGAATAACTCTCAGTTTAATTTTTTCGTATACCGATAATAATTATTGATAAAAAGAAGTTTGCTTGTTCAAAGATTTTGCATTTTTATATTTTTGACACTTCAGTTCATTGTCTTTTTTTATTTCCACATTTAAACTTCTGAAAAGCTGTATATTTACTCATTTTTGCAATGCGATCCAATATCAGCTTTAAAATGCTTCCATATTTCACATTTTTGGAATATAACATCCTTTTGATTTTCTTGATATCATTCCAGTTGCTGCGTAAACAGTGTATGTGGTTACATAACACTAGGATTACTGCGACTTTTTTCATAAAGTGGCGACAGCAGGTAACTATTCAAAAAATCATAAACGGCATTTCTCTGTTGTCAAATTTTATTACATCACAAATTTTTAAATTCTTTTTTTCCTGATTCTTAATCTAATTTTCATGTGGTTGCATTATTGCACTGTCTTCACTGGCAGAACAGTGGTTTTCATTTGTGTTCATGGGTATATTTTTGTTGATAGTATCATGAAGCCCAAGAAACCAACACAAAGAACACCATGGCACTCTGGCAATGGGCGTATTCTGTAGAACGTAGATGTCTACTAGCATGGTTTTCGTATACATTGGAAAAGAAGCGTAAAGCGGAGCGTATTTCCCAAGCAATGGATCAACGAAGGCAGAGATTCCTAAGAAAGGGTGTGTCACAGTGGTTAAAGGTAGCCACTGATATATCGGCAAATAGAGCAACGTATGCCGCATCAGAACAAGCCAAGGTAAGTTTAGCATTCTCATTTTACTTTTTCCATTTTGTCTGTTAATTTATTATTTTTGGTAACCCAGACCTGCGTTTATACATTTCAAAAAAGTTTGAATGGCCGGTATGGTTGCGATTAATAATAGCAAAATTAACATCTACTGATGATCATTCTTGTATTTTCATCGCTGCGTTCTCATACAAAGCATTAATTAAACAAATTTAATGTTAATAATTTAGTCATTGGAACATTTTACGCTTTTTGAAAGATGTTTAATGAAGCAAGCTTATTGTCACCAAACTTAAAATCTGTTTCTCTTGTATATTGTTTGTATGGTTTTGTTTCGCAACATGTTTCATATGTTCTTGTCCCTTATTGATAGATTGCGTACAGTACAATGCAAGTCGTGTATCGTTGCGCAAATCACTGGAAAGAATGGACAAAGCAAAGACAGCAACAAAGAGGTGGAGAACGCAAAGGAATACTGTTACCACGGAGAAAGGTGGCTGATTATATACCAACAATCATGACGTCAGAATCACCAATCAGATCTTCAGTTCGGCAACCGCCACCTGCCGTGCAGCAACTGCCACATGCCGTGCATATTGCTCAGAAGTATGTCAACTAATAATATGTACATCATTGATTATAGTTGCACTCGTTTTTCTCTGCATTCACTCATTTACTTAAAAATGACCCAAATTGTCCTAATTTTAGTCTATTATAATTCTGTTACAGGGTTATGACTACAAATCTTAAAAGTAGACCTAAACCAAGAAAACCAGACTTTCTTTTGGAGTCTTTACAAAAAGAAGGGCTTGTTGGGGATATCAGTTTTGATGAGTGAGTAACGTTCACATTCACAGTTGTGTTGCTGGATTAAATTACATTCATTTTTCATATTAATAACGAGTGTAGAAGTAATGTAGCAGTCTGATTGGTAAGATTGCCAACCAAAGTTTTTTCATTCAGCCATTGCTTTCTAAGCCCATGTTGGAGTATGTTTACATACAGTGTAGACAATGTTGGTAATCATCTCTGTGGGTGAAGATTTTATTCCTTTTCAACCAGAATAAGAACAGATTATATGCAAATTGCATTCATTCAGACAGCCTTCCACTGAGTCCCTTACTAGCAAGTAGTCTGTAACATGAATTCTGATTGGTTGCTGATTTTGAAAGATATGAACACAACTGGAGCCTTTACATTCGGATTCGGATTCGGATTCATACATTGGATTTTAATAAGACTATGATGAAGCTGACAATTGCTATTGCTAATTGAATGGACCTTATAGGATAGACCTGGTATTGATGGTTATAGCATATTAAATTCAAATCTATCACTATGGTAATTTAATTATTTCATTATTTTTTTTGCAGTGGTAATGCTGGTGCCCATGTGGATTTACAAACTGGGGAAATTAAAATTGATCACAGACAACCAAAGTTTAGCGATGAAAGCCATCCTAGATTTGAACCAAAACCATTTACTAGCACCATGGGAAAATTGTATCATGATATCAGCTCAGTATCGGGCAGTGAGACGTCGGATGCGATGGAGAATGACGTTTCAACGATAAATGATGCATCGTCACCACAAAGATTGGAGATTCCTCCAAAGGTTGACAGCTTCAGAGATGATGTAGAAACAATTCCATCTGAAGAACCACAGGTTATTGTGAATGTACATGATAAAATTCAGCCTGCAGTATTAACAGAAACGCCGAGTACAGGTGCCATGGAAACACAATATCCCATAATTCCAATCACTGCTATCAATATAACACCACCAAAAAGAGTGACTGATGCAAACAAGAAGATGTCCGCTAGTCCAAAGGAGAAGCCCATTTTGCTTCCACCATCAGCTTTCACTATCCCTTTACAACATGATACAGACATCCATCAGCCACTCAGACAAGTTCCGGAAATTTCAAAGGAGATGATTAGAAGCAGAGAGAGCATTCTAAAAGAGATAATGGACATCAAAGTACAGTTAGAGGAACACAAGAACAACACTGAAAAAATAAAGTAAATAAACCATTTTAATTCAGAGTTTTGATAGATTGGCATTTGCCTTAGAGAGGTTTTTATGTGCTAATGTTCAGCTTAAACAGGTTTCACTGTACTCGTGTTTGGCTTAAACAGGTTTCACTGTACTCGTGTTCGGCTTAAACAGGTTTCACTGTTCTGGTATTCAGCGTAAACAGGTTTCACTGTTCTGGTGTTTGGCTTAAACAGGTTTCACTGTACTCGTGTTCAACTTAAACAGGTTTCACTGTACTCGTGTTCAGCTTAAACAGGTTTCACTGTACTCGTGTTCAGCTTAAACAGGTTTCACTGTTCTGGTGTTCAGCTTAAACAGGTTTCACTGTTCTGGTGTTTGGCTTAAACAGGTTTCACTGTTCTGGTGTTCAGCTTAAACAGGTTTCACTGTTCTGGTGTTTGGCTTAAACAGGTTTCACTGTACTCGTGTTCAGCTTAAACAGGTTTCACTGTTCTGGTGTTCAGCTTAAACAGGTTTCACTGTACTCATGTTTGGCTTAAACAGGTTTCACTGTACTCCTGTTTGGCTTAAACAGGTTTCACTGTTCTGGTGTTCGGCTTAAACAGGTTTCACTGTACTGGTGTTCAGCTTAAACAGATTTCACTGTACTGGTGTTCAGCTTAAACAGGTTTCACGGTTCTGGTGTTCGGCTTAAACAGATTTCACTGTTCTGGTGTTAGGCTTAAACAGGTTTCACCGTTATGGTGTTTTTGCTTAAACAGGTTTCACTGTTCTGGTGTTTGGCTTAAACAGGTTTCACTGTACTGGTGTTCAGCTTAAACAGGATTCACGGTTCTGGTGTTTGGCTTAAACAGGTTTCACTGTTCTGGTGTTCGGCTTAAACAGGTTTCACTGTACTGGTGTTTGGCTTAAACAGGTTTCACTGTTCTGGTGTTTGGCTTAAACAGGTTTCACTGTACTGGTGTTCAGCTTAAACAGGTTTCACGGTTCTGGTGTTCGGCTTAAACAGGTTTCACTGTTCTGGTGTTCGGCTTAAACAGGTTTCACTGTTCTGGTGTTCGGCTTAAACAGGTTTCACTGTACTGGTGTTTGGTTTAGACTTTAATAGTGTTTGGAGAGAAAAACTAAAAAGTTACAAAATATTTCTTATTGGATATCTGTATTCAAAGAATTATTTTCTAAATATGACTTTTTGTTTGCTTATTTTTTGTTCAGAGATTTGCAGAAACAGAAGAAGCAGCTCTCTGATTGGCTGGAAGATCAACTGTCCGGTGTTAATATGAGTTTAAATTTGCAAACTGATGTATCCCAAGTGAAAGAGGAAGTCAACATGGTAGGGTGCAGTGTTATGTAGGATAGCTAAATTGAATCTGCATACTGACATATCCAAGGTGAAAGAGGCATAACATCAGGGCTCATAGCACTAATTGAATTTCCATAGACGACAATGTTAACATATGACGAGATTGCTACATGTATATGAAAATGATGAAGAAAATTGAAAACATGGCTCAAAAATGGGAAATTAACATGCCAGTAATCAACCATATGAAAAAAACTAACATGTTGGCCAGCTCAAACTCTTACAAATCTCAGGTAAACAAGACACACCTACTGTATTTGGATTGCACCTAGAGAAATCACTGGAAAAACACCAAGATTAGAACATCCAAATACACACAGAATAAACCCACAGGTACACAGCCGCTAAGTAGTAAACAAAAGACCACATGTTGGTCTCACCTTTGACGAGGTTGATTACGCCCACAAACAGGGAGCACCTGAGAAAAAAAATATTTTAAAAATGTCATTGGTTCTTGCAAGGCATTTAAATTGATTGATTGGTTGATTAGTGGCATGAGACCTTAACAGAAACAATGCATTATGGGATAGCTAGTTTAAATCTGCACTTAAAAATTATTATTATTATTATTCAGATGCAGCTGGAGATCAATGAATTATCTCGTAAGATTGCGGAAAATAAAGACAACGTGAGGTCACTTGCCGACAAAGCAAATTCTTTGGTGGCTCAATTGCAGTGAAGTATTGAAAGTATAATAAATAAATAAATAAATGAAGAAGAATGGAAACAAATTGTAATAATTAATATTTTACCATTATACATGAATATAACCAATAAATTATGTGTTGTACATTGATACCCCGGTACTTAACAAAACATAAATGTTTGTTAGAAATATTTATGTACAGTAACAATTTTACATGATACATGTATGTACATATCAGGTGGAAGGACATCATGTGCCACATATAATATATATAGTAGGTGATGTTCTGTTGAATTAAAAAAAAATGTATATATTGCCCTCTAGTGTTGAATTATCCTATTACTTTGTTTATCTGAAATGGAAACAAGAAAATATTTGTTGAATTGAATTTTAATCATGGCCATTAATCTTGGGGAAAGTATGATTCTTTGCTTGTTTTTTTGTTGATATCTTTGGATTTGTCATAAATATTAAACACATTACAAATAAATGATCATTTTTGAATGTTTTTATTATTGTCAATGCTCCATGGCAGAGACTACAGCTGTATGAGTAAAATCTGACAAAGTTGGATGTTCTTGTTTTCTTTGTATCATTACTGTTGCCATGGTTATATCAGCTATGATATATTGAAGTGAGCAAGACCAAGCACAACCCAATTGCAGGACCAGTTACTTTAAAAAATGATGCTTGTCACTTTGGCTCATGTTTGATATAGGTTTCATAGCAACATATACACAAAGTGTGGAAAAAGTTTGTTTACATGAAATTGAAATATGCACTGCACAATGGTCACCACCATTTCATTAGCCTGGCATGGTACTAATTTGGCAATTATCTAAATAGTAAGTACCAGTATGTAGCCTTTTATACAAATAAATTAGTTGTGCTCCATGTCAATTTTTTAACCCCACTGTTTTACTTCGTCAAGCGTGGCTAGTCCATGTCAACTTCTTAATGAAAAGTGCAAGTCCAATTGAATTGAAACTTGGTATAATGTGTACTTTCGGTGGATTTCTCTCAGATTTGTTCATTTCGTGCAGATATCTTCAATTCTCTAATTTTAATGAATATTTTTGGTAAAGAGTGATATTTTCGACTTCTTATTAAAATGGCTATCCCAATTTCTTAAATTTCTTTTTTTTAGAAAACCTCAAGTTTGTTTCATTTGTTACAAGTATTCCCCGTCGGACGTAGTGAGAAACGGGGACTTATGTTTTGTGTCCATCCGCCTGTGTGTTTGTCAGTCTTCATTTCTCAGGGACACATAGACAGATTTTCTTCAAAGACGAGTCAATATGGCAGACATGTGCACATTGATTTAATTTTGATTTGGTTGACTTTTGATTGACCATTTTTGTTGCAAAAAAAAAAAAATCAACCTTTGGACATGTCGACATGCCTTGATCGATTTTATTCAAACTTGGCATTGACATCAGTAATGGTGGGTTACTGATGTACGTCATTTTTTTCGTGATTCGATTCAAAAATGGCGAACTGGTGGCCATTTTGTTCATTACGAGTGTTCTGCTCATTTTACAGAGATGATTGTACAGATTTGGGTTAAATTTTGTACAAAGGCAAGTTATAATTGGTTAAATGTTGTTTTCAGTTATTTTTCGTTTTTATCGAAATTTAGCCTTATGGCGGCCATTTCTTAAGAAACAAAATCACAAAATTCAAAAATTTCATCAACTGTTTATTGGACATGCCTTCACCGATTTCATACAAAATATTGATGCACGTAATTTTTTTTCGTGATTCAATTCAAAATGTAGGACGAGTGGCCATTTTGTTTTTTTACGAGTGTTCTGCTCATTTTACAGATTTGGGGCAAGTTAATGGGTTCAATGTTTTGTTTTAAAGTTGGTACAAGTCAAGATACATGTCAATATCGCTTTGTTTTATTTTGTTGAGCTTTAACTGACAGCCATTAATTGTCCCAAAAATCAACATTTGCACATGTCATTAACAGTTTCTGGGGCATGCCTTGACCAATTTCATTCAAACTTAGTCTTTATACCAGTTTCATGAACATTTGTAGTTCATTTCAGTATTCAAATTTGCTAAATTCTGATACTTAAGTGTCTTGAAGATGAGAAGTACATTCAAATTTTATATGAGAATTATGCATATTGGGTTACAGGTTTTAGATATGTTAACAAAAACGGTCGACTCCTTGCTGATTTATCACTAATAAATCACCTGATTCAGTTCATGTCAAGCAATGGAAATAATTGACAAAATGCCTTTTAGAAATGTTTTGAAGAGAACCAGAACAAGGGGAAAATTCACTTTCTGATAATTTATACTTATTTAATGTCAAGAAGAAAATATATTTTGATATTATTATTGGCAATGTGTTTTATTAATTGACACCAACATCTCTCTTCTGTGTGAATTAGAAACTAAATATTGCTTTTCAGCTCATTTTCCATCATGAAAATAGAAGTACACAAGTTTGTCGTGAAAGTATGAATAATCTTTTATTACAGACAATACATCAGTTTTAAAACTAAGCTTTCTTAGAGATAACTGTTGTACATTTATAGTTACAGAGGATACACACATTTTATTGAATTATATTTTAGGCTCTGTCTCCCAATCCTGATACAATATTCCAATGTAAGATTACAAATCATACAATTTAACTTAATGTTTGCTAATTTGATTATTAAGAAGGTGATTCTCATAACATATCACATCAAACATAATTTTAATGTGATTTCCAGGAATGTTACCTGCCCTTAGATTTATCTACCCTTGATATTCAAGAATAAATTTTGTATGAATCTTCTTTGTGTGTGATAGCGATTCTAAGTTACTGTCAGTAACTTGTTAGTTTTACTCTACAAACACTTTGATACAGTTATTATTATTATCAGATACAGCTATTTTACCATCATTACACACTGCTACACCATGTGGTCTACTCAGTCCATCTTTATCCCTATCAATCCTACAAATAAACTGACCATCGCTGTCATACTTAGTGACTTTATTCTCACTATTCACATAGACATAATTATTCTTATCTATGGCCACTCCCTTGGGATAACTCATTGTACTGTCACCAGTGGAAGAGAATTCAAACATAAACTGGTCATCAGAATTAAATACCTGGATAAGGTGGTTGTTGCTATCTGGCACATACACCATTCCTTCACTGTTAATAGCTAGAAAACCAGGTACATTGAACTCTTCTTGTTCATCTCCCTTTCTCCCAAATGAATTAATATAGACACCTCCCTGCGTATACTTAGTGATACAATGTGTAATATAGTCACTCACATATACATTCTTTGTAACAGGATTAATTGCTATTCCAATTGTTTTATCAGAGCATCCAAACTTTCTAATTACCTTTCGTTTTTCATCACTCACAACAACTTGTTTGTTATTACAATCTAACATAAAGTATTCATTATCATCTGATATTGCTACATCACATGGTTTGAATGGCTTTGCAAACTGATCAGTAAATTCAAATGATTGTTTGTAATTTCCATCTTTGTCATGTATGGTCACTCTGTTATTCCTTTTATCAGCTGTGACAAAGTCACCATGATTGTTGATGGTTAGTCCCCAAGGCTTGCTGAGCTGTCCTTGTCCTGTGTTTCCTACTGTCTGTACCAATCCTCCGGTAACAGGAATATGGAATGGTGATCCTGGTATATGTACTTTACCAGTTGTTATGGCAACTTGCTGTTTTCCTTCTATCTTTCCTGTCAATATAACATGATAAGTCCCATCGTTATTGTCAGACATGTCAATGTCTTCCCATGATGCATCAGGATTCCTCATCTTCACCTTGACATCTTGACGGGGAATGATTTGTTTACCTCTAGAATCTCTGGCTGTGATGAGCAGGTTGACTGATTCACCTTTCACAAGTTGTTCTGGGATGTTTTCAACTGTACATTTAGATGGACAAACATCAGATTTCACGACTCCTATCAGTGTATGTGAAAGGTCACTTTTTGGCTGGAATTCAATAAAATCATAACTGAGTTGTGGCTTTGTTTCCCTAGCAACCATCTCTTTTATACGCTTCATTGTTTCAAGCCTGGTGGATAGTAGGTGAACAGCATTCCCATGATGCACTAGTTTTTCCAGATAATGATGTGTGCTGGCTATGTTGCCATGTTGGAATTCTATCTCATCAATGTTCATTGCTGCATCTTTTAATCCCATCGTGGCACTTTCATCCAAGGCATCTATCAGCATCTTCTCTTCTCTCTTTACCTTCTCTATTAATTCCTCTGCTCTTTTCTTAACTTTCATTTTCTCTACCTCAAACTGGTTTTGGATTTCTTCTATTGCAGTTTCAGCTGCCACCTTTTCGTCCTTCACTTGATTCTCTTTCACTTTCAACTGTTCTAACATTTCCCTCACTTGTGTTTTATACTCATCTGCTACCTCTTGTAAGTCTCTATGGACGTGTTCAGGAACTCTGTGTTTAACTATGGTACACTTCAAGCATACAGGCACCTGACATGTATCACAGTAGAATTCTAAGTGGCAGTTTTTATGATCACTGCAGAGAACTTTGGACTGTACCTCAAGATGACCCCTAGATTGTATCTCTCTGTACTTGTCGATTGTAAGCACTTCATGAGAACGCGTAGCCAGAATGCGTTCATGGATAGTAACACATACATCACAGCAAAAATGAGGACAGTCTACACATCTGTGTGTTGCGGTCTTCTCCTGGCATAACTCACACATTGGTGGATGGTCAGTTTTAGGCTGACTCTGTCTCTGGAATGCGTCCAGTAGGCTTGTTAAAAAGAAATTCGACTTTAGTTCCTGGATGGGAGTGTCGCATTGCATTCTACATGTTGCACACTTTAAAACACCTCCAGATTTAGCCTTAAAAGTTACCAAACATTGCTGACAGAATGTATGAAGACACGGTAGAAGAGTGGGATTCTTGTAGTTCTCCAAACAGATGGCACAACTGAGGAAATCCTCACTAATTTCTTTAACGAGGGACTTCTCGGATGCAGCCATCTTGCGGAAGTTTGAAATAATACAGTACTCTGTGAGCTCCCTAAGGAAGTGGAGATTCACAATACGTCCTTTTTTTTAGGGGAGTCACGTACATATGTACATCTATCCAGAACGTAATGCTTACCATTTATTCTGTTCAATCATAGTGTTATATGTATCTCCACAACACGTTTTACATATCTGACTTTTTGGGACAATATTTTGTTGATTTACAAAAATTGTGATCACGGTTATCTACCCCCAGGTTACCACGTTTGACATCAGGGATGGTTGGGTGGCTGTGGGCAGTGTAGTGAATGGGGCCAAATCATGGCAACCATTATACCATTTATTATCGCCGGCTATTTTGTTAGTGATGACCATCGATAACGCTCGCCCATTTCTTTGATACGGAACTCAACAAAAATAAAATGCTGATTATTAGCTATTATTTTAACGTCTCATAATGACAGTATATTAAAATATGGATTATAAATCATCACCAGCGGCTAGCATATATTTTTTAAATATATACATCACATGTTTTTATTTTGTTTCTTGTTATTTCCATGTTTTTAAACTTTATAAGTTGTTCATTCGCATCAATATCGCAAAGTGGATTCGATTGCAATACAGATAATGATATTATTACAATTACAAATTAAGTATATTAGTAATTTTTGTATTTATTATTTTGATGTTTGCGATATAATAGTGTCTGGTAATACAACCATTTAGTATACGCCGAAATGTTGCATCCTCCGGTTTTAAGATACTTACTCAAGGTCGGTATTAGGTATTCTTGTATCAGTGTTTATTTTATCTGGCAATTAGTAAACATTCAATCAACCATAGTAGCCGGGTGCAATCTGGTGCAGGTAGATAATCACTTCACTGGTATATAGGCGTTAGTGTTTGATTAGATTGTACCTGATCTAAATGTATTTTTTAAATATTTCACTATTTTCCATACTTATTTATTTTCTGTACTTATTTTACAACAAAGGCTCGCTAATTTAAAAACTAGAGGTTGCACCATAGACCCTCCAGTTGACCAGGGTTTATGGTTGCACTTTGAGAATACATTGAGAATACCAGTTTTGTTTATGCATGTTCCCCTTAGAAATCGACAAAATAACAAAGATCAGTGGGCCATTATCCATGTTGCATCCTAACTCTCAAACTCTTATTACCAGAAACCACGACTGATTTTTTATTTGTTATATTTTCAATTCTCGTGAGCCAGAGTATATTTTTTTCCGTGAACCAAGAGGACGACGCAGTTGGAAGCCGCCACAAGCGGGCGTGGTAACGACGATGAGATTTTTATCATAACTTGCCTCTTGCCATTTATAATATTATTATTTATAATGTCTCATTGGGTTTAGATATACCCGTTTTTTAAAATAATTCTATTATTCTAGTATATGTTTTATAGATCACTGACATACGAGAGCAACTATACGTATACTGTTATTCCAGTGTTGATACTGTAAAGGGGTTAATTATTCACTGGGTTTTAATTTGGCTTTTTTCGCTGACTGAAAAATGCGCTAAATTAAAACCCAGTGAATATGTAAAATTGTGCTTAGAACACATTATCTAAATGATAAAACTGTGAATTTAAAACCCACTGAATATGCCTGAAATGGTAAATCAGTGAAATTTAAACCCAGCGAAAATTAGTCATTTTACAGTATTTAGTTTGGTGGACAATAACTGCTGATGAGATAATTCGTGTTTTCAATAAATGAAAAAAAAAATATTCATTCAAGACAGGAAACAAGTACATGAAAAAATATGTCATACCCCTCTTTTCTCAGTATTAAAATAATGAGCATGTAATTAAACAGCAACATTTACCAATCTAAATACTTTTATTATTAAAGAAAATCAAGTTTTTTTCTTTTTTACAGCACATGTACTGTAGTTTTAGTTTGCAGATTTATTCTGAGGTTTTGTTCTTTTCATGTTCAACCACGGGCTACTGGCTTTGACTTATTGAAATAAACAAACTTCTTGCACTGATATTTGATTTAAAATATTTTCGCTTATAAATTTCCGATTAATTTTAACATATAAAAACAAACTGATACGACTACTGCTCGTTTGAAAAAAAATCTTCGCCGTGAGCATGCGCATTGTCGATCATCTAAACTTCCGGTTTAGAGAACCGGGGACATACCTGACAGAAAAAAAAGAGAGCGGCTTTTCTGAAAGAAAGCGATCATTCTACGGTCAGTGCTTGAACTCATACACAAACCATGTATAACAGGGACAAATCAGTGCAAATCAAGGGAAGTGCGTCGTGTCTGTACAACAATCTCAGTATTCTGTCCATGCCTGACAAGAACGTTACGTGTTATGCGACGGTGCACAAGACAGTTGTTAATATCGCAAATTGCAGCGGCGATGCCATGAATATACAGCATCGGCAAGTAAGCTGTAAGGAAATGGGTACTCCGTCCGGTAACTCAATGATTTTACAGGTATGTATTGACCCTAAACGCCAGCAATTTAAAAAATATATGGGAAAAAAACAAACGTTATTTGAGAAATGATGAGCGTACAGACAGTTAGTTGTCTGCATTATTATTATAATGAGGAATTCGTTGCTATGGGCAACGTCGGCCCCAGTCTCGTCATCATTCCTATCACCACCAGTTTCACTATTTTGTTAAATCAGAAATAAAATGAATTAAAAAAGTAATAAACCAATCTTAGTACTGTCATATTGAATATACTTGTATGTGACCAGAGGCTTATATTTGAAAAAACTGCGATAAGGCAATGATGGCTGGTTTGGCTTGTATGTACTGATGTTTATTGATGTATGAATGAAACTGGTTGCTGATTGGAAAAAACACAGGTCATTTTGAAATTTTGTTCATCCACCCCAATTATGTAACATTTGTCAAACAGTTTTCATTTTGAGTTTCTAAATTTTTTTTAAATTTATTAATCCATTAACCATATTCTGAAATGAGTGCATTTACAGTATATGCTTTGCAGTAATTTATGTATGAAATTAATATTCATTTCAGGCCAAATTTTGCGAGTTCCCGTCAAGAAGTATGTTAGTCATATTATCACAGCGAGGTATACAGGCAAGTATAATTGTAGTGGAATAGAAGATGGTTGTATTGGAATTATGTGATCAATATCACAAGGTAGAACTGAGTGCACAGACTTTAGCATGTTCACTGAAATGGTGAATGTATTGTCACTGAACTATCTTGGAATATTTAACCTGTATCATTGTTAAATTTTCTCAAAATACTGAATCAATAGGTCACCCCAGGTACATTTGTTTAGCTCATTCTTTGGATATCTACAGATTTTTTTTTCATGAAGAATTGGATCAATTACACATGACATTGGTATACATGTACACATCTACATACACATCTAATTCCAGAATATCAGATAAAATAGTCTTAAAACCATACCAAAAAAAATTAAATGAACTTTTAAATTTAAATTAGTTAAAGTTAAATTAAAATTAGTATAATCTATAACAATTTCATTAAATGTATTTTTTCATTGTTTCCAACCAGATTTTTGAACCTGATGGTTCTGTTATGCTATTCTGGCATGCATTTGGGAGTGCTGACTGTGGATTAGGTAATATGTCTTTCATTATTTTGAAAAAGATTTGTCTATCATCAGCTTTGCTTGCAAGACACTGAATTTAATTGGCTAGTGGGCGTTACCAAATATATTCCATAGCAATAGATATATCTTACACATAGAATATAGTAATAAATCAGCTCTGCTTGCAAGACACTGAATTTAATTGGCTAGTGGGCATTACCAAATATATTCCATAGCAATGGATATATCTTACACATAGAATATAGTAATAAATCAGCTCTGCTTGCAAGACACTGAATTTAATTAGCTAGTGGGCGTTACCAAATATATTCCATAGCAATAGATATATCTTACACATAGAATATAGTAATAAATCAGCTCTGCTTGCAAGACACTGAATTTAATTGGCTAGTGGGCGTTACAAAATATATTCCATAGCAATGGATCTATCTTACACTTAGAATATAGTAATAAATCAGCTTTGCTTGCAAGACACTGAATTTAATTGGCTAGTGGGCGTTACCAAATATATTCCATAGCAATGGATTTTGAACTTGAATTTCTTTATTTCGTAGCTCACATCGACCGGCCGGTCTTCGACAGAGGAATATTGCTTCCGAATACCCTTACTTAATCAAAATTGTCTATCATCAAATGTGTACAGCACATAATTAAGCATGGAAATGCCCCCAAAATATTTTCGCGTTTGTCGAATCCCACGTGATGTTTGACGCCACTACGACGATATGACCTTTGTTTGTCATGTTTTTACGTTCTATTTCACACACAACGCGTGATTCTCGCAGTGAACAGAAAATGGTCAATTGGCTAGTGGGCATTACCAAATATATTCCATAGAAATGAAAGCTTTTCATTTGGATTTAAATAAAGTGCAAATATCTGGAAATGTAAATTTGTGCGAAATAAATCCATTCATCTTTTTAAATCTTGTGTTGCATTTGACAGAGTTGACAAGTAGACTTTCTAACTTTCTGGTTTGATCCAAATTCAAATCCAAATCCAAATCAATACATCAGTTCATTGTCAGATTTCACTTTTGTCTCAAATTAACTTTGAAGTCCATCTAAATTGTTGTAGATTAGCATCACATATATGTTTCTGACGTTTGTTTCTTTTTCAGCTGGTGAAATATTTGCCCGTGGTGTCACAAGTTGCGGTGATAGTCATATGGCTGTTGGTAAGTAATAACTTTGGGTGCAGTATTGCATGCAGGAATACTTTAGGGAGCTATACGGGCTCCAACTATTGTATAGTATGGATTAGTGCTTTTTTTGTCCTAAAATAATTTATAGGTACTAAGCACTGCTGCAGATAGTGACCAATGCTATAGTGAATTTTTCTCAACATTTTCTCAACGCAGATTAGCTTTCTCATACAGAAGTTTGAACTCCAAAATTCCCTGATTAATTCTGCATCTGATTAAATTTCTAAAAGAAATATTCTGTTCGCTATGTTCAAAAAAGATTTTAATTTCTATCCTTTTAATTTGTACTTTTTATGCAAAACATAGCACAGAAATCATTATTGTCAAACGATTTAAGAAAAAACAACATGTTGTAAAATGTGACATCCTGGATGTATGCGTCACCTTACTTATCCCTACATACCAGAGATCACATTGTAACAGCAATCTTGTTTTACTCACAAAAATAAATATAACTACAGTAATGTGGCAAAAAAAAATGCTTTAAAAGCAATGCACTTAATTCAGAACATATCTTCAGACAACACAGATAGAATTAGAAAGAATTGCTGTGACGGATTCAATCACTTCGACACTATGTTGAAAGTTAAAACTATGAGTGAAATGTATCATTAATTCACATCTTTGCTTGGATAGTTGCTTGATCATGTGTACAAGCTCTCAGATCAGTAAAGCTTTCTGTTATATAATTTTGAGTTTTTGATTGGTCTACACTAGTCTAGACGAACTTGTATGATATATTTTTTTGGAGAAAACAAGAGTATCTAGTGTTTTGAATGTCCATCGTTATTTTTTAGAAGAATTGCATACTTTCTACAAAGCTCCCTCGACCAACACTGTAGTTGTGTGTGAAATTCTCCCTAAAACTGCCAATGCTGATTTGTATCTTTTATTTGTTTTTGCGGCATCAAAAGATCGCCCACATGACACTTGTAACCACCATCATCTCTGGTTGCAGTTTTATTCAAGATGTGCATCTAATATATTAAATACAGTATTCCTTATATGTGTTTCATGCTTCCAATATCCTCAGCACATGAGAGTTCTTAATAAGCTTTTGTTGATTTCACAATTTATGCCATAAATCACTTTCATACTCAAGTTCATAGTTCCATATTCTGCCATGAGAATGGTAGTATATATATTAATTTATTCTTATTTTTTTTGAAAAATGTAATTGTACTTTTAGATTGGATTTGATATAATCCAGAGGACATCTTAGAACTACCTAGTCTTGCTATATATATTTAATCAAGGTTGCATGCAAGAGTAATCTGATCAACAAATTAATTTTTTAACCAGACAACTCATTTTGCAGGCACAGCCAAGGGGACATTACTTATATTTAACATCCCACCTAAAGGACCAAACATTACAATGTCTGAGACTTTGACTGGACATTCCTATGCTGTGACTGATTTGCAGAACCAAGATAACATAATGGCTAGTGCTGATGACAGTGGTTGTATTATAGTGTGGAAAGCTGGTAATCCGTTCAGTCGACTATCAAAAATAGCTGGATCCGGGTTAGTAGTAATTTCAGTGATTGGGATTGGGACTGTAGGAAATTATGACGCATGTCATGCTATTATTGGAAATGGCACATAAAATCATCAGTTAGAAGCCATCGAAAAGAGGCTTAGCCTCTCAAGATGACGACATATTTGACATGATGTCGCCCAAGGCCCCCGGTAATATCTTAGGTTTGCTTGACAAAACTAGATTTCCATAAATGGCGCCCTCAGGAGACCTGGATACAGACCAGCGGCCATCTTTTTTCACTTGATTCAATGTACAAAGTCGGTATAAAGCGTATATTCGCACTGCTTTCAGTGTCCACATTTTGGCGATGGTTATTACAAATTGACACAGGAAATGTTTTATTAAAAATAAAAAGAAAGGAAAAAAGATCGATAGTTGTACAGCTACTGTTGCTTTAACAGATTAACATCATTTAATAGTGGGTTTTGAAGAAGAGATGCTGTTAAATGTATAGCATGAAAGACCAAAATAAGTATGTTATGTTCACTTAAAATATGTCCAGAACACACAAGTAGCTGGATGTATACAATAACATTTGATATAGATACCAGCCTGGTAGGTTCATGTGTTTGAGCAATCCATTGAATTTTGTATTTCAGGTCCAGCTGTACATCCGTGTGTCTATTTAGTGGTTTTGTAGCGGCAGCGTACGGCTCTGGACATATTAGAATCTTTGATTCCAGTAGAGGGAGTCTGCTAGTTGAGATATGTGCCCATG